GGCGCAGAACCCGCCTCCCCCCGCCTCTCATTGGGGGAGGGACACGCCCGTCACCCGCCGCCCCCACCCGATAGGGGGAGCCACTGGTCCCGCCGCGGGGGGAGGGTAGGCCTCCACACGCCTTGCGCGCTTATTGGACATTGCCCACGCCGTTCTGCAGGAGGGCCCGCCCTTGTTTGTCTGAGACACTCTTTATAGGTGATCGCTTTCTGCCAGTCATTCCGTCGACCCCGCCGCCTTAAAATAAAATCCAATTTCATAGGTCGGATTTCTGGCGCGGGTGGCCTCCCTAAAAGCACCTGATAGGAGCGGCGCTCTAAACCTCCCAAGAATCCCCGCCTCCCTCCCACTTTCATTGGTCTCTTCGCTAATCCGTCAGTACCCAGTCACAAAGACTACCTTCCCGCGCCACTTCGCAAGGAGACAAGGAAGCCCCGCCCTTTTTTGGTCTCTCTCCAGTGGTTACTACAGATGCCCATTCTTCTGCGTCTCCATTGATTGGTCAATGGAGAGTGGAGCGCACCCTCTCACCAGATGGTAGGACTACTGATACGCTCTGATTGGATAAAATGGGGAGCCCCACCCCAGGGTAGGCGCTCTTTGGTGCGGTCTACGAAACCAGCGAAGGCGAGAAGGCATGCGCAAATATGCTTTCAGGCACCGCCCAGAGGCGGGGCCACCCCTCTAGAGAGTGACGGCCTGGAATACTCGGAGTATTTACGGAGCGGCCACTGTGTGTGCGCCGGAAGGCTAGACCAAGATTGACAGGAACTCCCAGGGTATCTCTGTCGCCATCACTATACCCTGTTCCTCTCTACCTCTAGGAAGAATTCTTAAAATCCCAAATCTGAGCCTTTTCCTCAGTATAAAACCACTCGCTGCTGCCGACTGTCTTCGGACCCTATCCAGTTCTAAATTCAGCCGCAACGCCTTTCGGTTTCCCTTGGGAGAAGGCTCTTCCGAGCACTCTCGATCTGTGCCCGTGCAGTCCCTTCCACCTGGGATAGTCCCTCCACTACCCCTCCTGCAGGAGCTAAGGGCCAAGTCATCTAGTCTGTGCGATCTAAATTCACAGGCCCCTGCCATCCCAGACCCCCAGCCGTAACTCGGGCCAGTGATTTTTACCTGACAGCTCGACCCCTCTGAGCACCACAGGAGGCCCTGGCCCCGACCTTGGAGAGGGTGGCCACCTACCAAGCGCCCAGTGCAAGCCCCCTGCACAGGGGAGGCGTTCTTGTGATCTGTGCTTGCGTCAGACCTTTCTTCCTCAAGGGCGGGGTAAGACCACCCGCACTGCCCCGAGGGAATGTTGGAGGGTATCTCGACTCCAACTAAACGCAACTGTCCAAGCCTGGGGGTGGGGGAGACAAGCGCCCCAGTTATCACGCGCAAGCGGAGGGGTCAAACGGGGATTAACTCGGGATCCTGTCCTACGGAACATAACATTATGGGGCTGCCCGCGCCGGGTTGGCGGGGGGAACACCTTATCGAAGCTATTGGCAAGTGACGATGTCGCCAAAGGGGGAAAAAAATAGCGAAGCTAGCGTCGTGAGAAATGCGGGGGACGCCTCAAAAGTGCTCCAGGACCTTTCCGCCTGGCTGATCGGGGCTTTCGAGTTGAGGTCCAGGTGGAAACTAAGTTTGAAATGGAGGCCGTGTGTGGTGACTCACACCTGTAATCCCAGCACTTGGGGAGGCCGAGGCGGGAGGCTCGCTTGAGCCCCGGGGTTCGAGGTTGCAGTGAGCCGTGATCGCGCTCCTGCACTCCAGCCTGGGCGACGGAGCGAGACCCAATCTCAGAAAAAATGGGGTCTATGGCAATACAAGAGGGGGACAGGCGTGGTGGCTCTGCCGGTGAGGGAAAATAAAGTTGGGGGAGGGGGCCCTGCTGGGGACCTCGGTCAGCTCTCCCGGACGCCGGGAAGATCCGAACACGCTGACTGAACAGAGACGGAGGCGGGGCAGCGTCTGAAGCACGTGACCCGCGTGACGGGAGGAGGCGGGGCCGGTCGCGACGAAGGGCGGGGTCGCTCGGTCCCAACGTCAGAGGAATGCGGTGGGGGGAGGGGGAGAG